CAGATCAGGATCCTCCACAGGAACAAATCTAAGTTCACAAAATCAAGGGAACAGCATTACCATTTCTCTAAGTTCTAATAATTCTACAACAGAAAAACAGCTTACCATCTTTTAGAGATTTATAAAAGTATCCTTGTGAGCAGGCCAGAAAATTTCAAAAGTGCCTGCCAATTATACTACTCCTTGTTTATCCTCCTGAGAATAAAACAAACTTCAGACATCTCTTAAGGCCTTGAAAAAGTCATATGCTCTGATCAGCTAGGTCCTAACTCATGGCTTGTTTTACTAATCCATTCTGAATTTATTATCTACCAGACAGTTAAGTAGCACAATAATAATAACTAATACATTTCATTTCAAAATCACTTTAAAACATACTTTTCAGTCCTCAGTGAAAGAAGCAGGGGTGGAGCAACATTGCAGCTGGACTCTGGTTACATTCCTCATGTTTTGTGGTCTGAGCTTCACAGTGAAATGCAGCAAAGATTTCAGAATTTCCCTTTACAGTATGCAGGTGTACAAGTAATGGTTTAGGCAAGGAATCAGTCCAAGCCTGGGTTTCAAACAGGCCAGACAAAGAAAATACATTGGTCTTTTTTTCCTCCAGCCAAACTGGCTAAACAGAGCTTTGAATTCTAACATCTCATGTACCAATAGCCAGATGAGACAGGTAATCAGAGAGGGGAGAGACTGAAAATTCCTAGGGCCATTACATTAATTATAATTGTCCAATGAATCATTCAATTTCTATTTGCCATCTCCCATGAAGATCTGATTCCACGTAATGTCCTGGAAAGGTTTACATCCAAATTAAAAACTCAAGAAAAAGAAAAACCATGTCTAATCTGGTCTTTCAGTGATCCAGGCTAAGAATAACTGAAGCATAAGCATAATCAATAAATGTATTTCTATTTATATATTTATGTATATATTTATGTTGTTTCAAAAAGGATTTGAAGTACTTCACAAAAATACATAAAACCAGCTAAAACACTTAATAGTTTGTAAAATCTAAAACAGCATCAATTGTAAAATGCATCATTAACTTGTATAACATTAAGAAAAGTACTATCAATTATAATATGATATGCCGTTAATTATGATGCACCTCATTTTATCAATATTAAAACGTCCAAAATGTATACATCAAAATCAACAAAATACAATATGTGTTTCAGCAAAAGGTGGAAGACAGAGGCAGAATATAAAATTCATTAACCAAAATGCAATTCCTGTGGTTCCTCTGGCTGCCAAAGAAAAAAGGGTAGCATAATCACCTAAAACTAGCTGGCCTTACCAGATCACTTGAGAAAATCGATCAATAAATCAATAAATCACTGCTGCTACTCACACTGGGGTGTGCTGCTTGAAAATGCCGACATGTTAAGTTGCTACTTCACAAATTAAAGTGTGCAACTGATCTGGAGCAAAAATATTTACCATCTCAAGGAACACCCTTTCTACAAGCTCCCAAAGTGATTTTCCTGCATAACTAATTTTAAAGTCAGATCATCATGAAAAACTTTGATAAAAATCTGGAAAGACACTTAATTTGAACATTATGGCACTAGGAGAAGGCTGGTTGGAAATAGCCCAGCCTTCAGAGAACTACCAGGTGATCTTTCTTAAATATATATCTGGTCATGGTATTCTCTTTTGCTCAAAATCATCTAGGCGCCCCTTCATCCCTTATAAGCCATGTTTTTCATCATTAAACAAACCAAATGATGTCAGCAAAAATGGTACAGTAGACAGAGCCAAAGACCTGTCCCTCCAAAGAAACATCTAAAAAAAAAAAAAAATTCAAGGAAAATTGTCAAAATCAACTTTGTCAAAACCCCGGAAAATAGTCAAAGGTTTGTATCAATTGCCTAAATGTTGAACCAAGAAAAAGAAAACTCAAACCAGGAGGAAAGTTTTGCAGCTTTGTGATTTGCCCTGGCCCCACCCTCCTCTTCAGTTCAGCATTGGTCTTGCAGACAACAGACAGCCCGTCCTCCCGGTATGGCGCTTGATTTTTGGATCTTGAGGGAACAGACCAGATTCTTATTCTAAAAACAAGTGTGTCTGTTCAAACTTGTCTGGCGGCTACCTAAGGGACTAATGCGAGTCACTTTCCTTTGGTCTTCACCTAGTCTGAACTCAGTCAGAGCTGAAAAGCAGCTAACAATGTTCAAGTAGTAAGGCAAACAAAAAACCCAGAGCCAGCCACCAGGGGCAAAAAATTACAGTTCAGATAAAAAACAGATTGTCTAAAGCCTGGGAAGAAAAGCTGGAGAGTTTCTTTGAGAGATTAGGTCATTCAAAAGTATACTGGGGAATTTAGAAGCTACATTCATACCCAAAACAAGACGCATGTTCAGAAAAAACCTGACGGGGGCCTACCTTTCCCTCTGGCTGACAGCTAGGCTCAGTGCAACCAGAAAGTGAAGGCTAAGGCCTTCAACTGAAATTAAAGGACCAATAGATAGTAACTTGAAGCTGTACAAAGAAATAAAAATCCAGACAAGGTAATTATGTACGTTTAAAAAAAAAAAAAGAGGCCGGGCGTGGTTGCTCAAGCCTGTAATCCCAGCACTTTGGGAGGCCGAGGCAGGTGGATCACGAGGTCAACAGATCGAGACCATGCTGGTCAACATGGTGAAACCCCGTCTCTACTAAAAATACAAAAAATTAGCTGGGCATGGTGGCGCGTGCCTGTAATCCCAGCTACTCAGGAGGCTGAGGCAGAAGAATTGCCTGAACCCAGGAGGCGGAGGTTGCAGTGAGCCGAGATCATGCCATTGCACCCCAGCCTGGGTAACAAGAGTGAAACTGCCTCCAAAAAAAAGATACTATTATGGGCACACAATGTATAATGATGCAATCTGTGATAATAACAACATAAAGATAGGAGGAAGAACAGAGGTGTATAGAACAGAGTTTTTATATGCTACTGAAGCTAACTGGTATCAGTTCAAACTAAAATGTTATATAAATATAGCATTTATTAAAATCCCCATAACCATAAAAAATCTATAAAATATACATACAAAGAAATGAGAAAGGAATCAAAATGGTACACTACAAAAAATATCAATTAGGCACAAAAGAATGCAGTAATAAAGGAAATGAGACATACAAAAAAGCATAAGACATACAGAAAACAAATAGTAAAGTGGCATAAGTTTTTCCCTATGAGTAACTAAGTGGAAGTGGATTAAAAATGCTAATCAAAAGGCAGAGATTGGAGGAATGCATAAAAGGCATGCTCTAACTATATGCCATCTTCAAGAGATTTATTCTAGATCAAAAGGTTCCAATTGAAAATATGGGAAAGATATTCCATGCAAATAGTAACCAAAAGAGAGATGGGTTGGTTATGCTAATATCACATAAAACAGTCTTTTGGCCAAAAATTGTTACAAGAGTCAAAAATATACCAATAAAGGGGTCAATTCATCAGGCTGACATAACAAGAAATATGTGCACCAGACAACAGAGGTCTAAAACATGAAGCAAATGTTGACAGAATTAAAAGGAAAAATACAGTTTTACAGTAATAGTTGAATTCAATATCCCACTCTCAATAATAAGTGGAACATTTAGACAGAAGCTCAATAAGGAAATAGAAGACTTGAGAACGTTATAAACCAACTAGATCCAACGGACATAAATAAAACACTATATCAAATGACAGCAGAATACACATTCTTCTCAAGTGCATGTGGAATGTTCTCCAGGACAGACAATACATTAGGCCACAAAACAAGTCTTAATAATTTTTTTAAAATATTATAATCATAAAACTAACTTCTCTGCTTCTATATCACAGTGGAATAAAATGAGAAAATAACGAAAGCAAAACTAGAAAATTCACAAATACATAAAAATTAAAGAATCCCCTCTCTATTTTTTTTTTCAGATAGGGTCTTGCTCTGTCACCCAGACCAGAGTGCAGTGGTGTGATCTCAGCTCACTGCAGACTTTGCCTCCTGAGCTTAATCAATTATCCCACCTCAGCTTCTTGAGTAACTGGGATTCTAGGTGCACATCACCACACTCAGCTAATTTTTGTATTTTTTTGTAAAGACAGGCAAATTTTGTATTTTTTCAATGAGAAAGAAAAGGAATTTAATGAGCAATAAGAAATCATCTGGAGGTAAAAAACTCATCGATAATAGTAAGTACCCAGAAAAACACAGAATATTATAACACTGTAATTGTTCTGTGCAAACTACTCTGAAGGAGAAAGACTAAAATATGAGCCAATCAAAAATAATAAGGACAACTTTTCAGACACAAACAGTACAATAAAATATAAGCAGGGGAAAAATTAAAGTATAGAGTTTTTATTAGTTTTCTTTTTGTTTATGCAATCAGTGTTGTCTTTGGTTTAAAATAATGAGTTATAACATAGTATTTGCAAGCCTCATAGTAATTTCAAATAAGAAACTATACAAAAGATACATAAAAAATAAAAATCAAGACATTATATCATAACACCAGAGAAAATCACCTTCACTAAAAAGAGACAGAAAAGAAAGAAGGAAGAGAAGACCACAAACAACCTAAAAACAAATGATAAAATGGCAGAGGTAAGTCCATACATATTAATAATGTTGAATGTGAATGGATTAAACTCTCCAATCAAAAGATGGAGAGTAGCTGAATAGATTTTAAAAAAACAGGACCCAATGATCTGTTGCCTACAAGAAACATGCAAGAGGTACTATTTGTAGAATATTTGTAGATTATATGGCACTTATCCTTACAAAAATAAGAGGAAAATAAATGAAATTTAAAGTAAATTTTTGCTACCATTAGCAATTTTTGGAAGTCCAGGGGTTGAGTCACTAAAATTTATACAAATAACTACATTTGATTTAAATAAAATGAAGCACTCTATAAAGGTTATATAAAAGTTGTCACAATTTAGGTTACATTTGACATAGTATATTGTATCCCACGTTTTATATACTAGCTTGACTTAAAAATCATTTTTGAAAAAAGACACTTACTCTCTCTCCTTTTCCGTCAGCTTGTCATTGATATTGTCTTTGATTGTTGATCTAGACCCTTTATGAATTATAGGATATCTGAGGGGCACTTGCAGGAAAAAGGAAATCATGGAGACCAAATGTGCAGTATAACCAAGGGCAACAGCAATGCTTCCATCATCCTTTGCTGTAAATTCAAAAGCAGAGGAAAAGAAAATAACTATTTACTTTATAAATAACTACAAGATAATAAATCATTTCAAAGAATATCTTATAGAAATATGTGGTACATAAGATATTAATCACTTATCTAAATTATATAAATTTTATGCAAATGTAAACATATTAACAAGACTTGAAATTTCATCTAACTGCATGTAAAATGATTTCCCAATAATTAATATGATGAGATTAACATTTGATATATATCTTAAAGCAGGAACTCTTACTATGTCCAAATAACCATTGCTTTCTTTCTCAGCACTTTTACAGGGAAAATTAATACTTGAGTCTATTGTATGATGTGAAAATTAGCTTCAGAGGTTTAAACATAAAAATCATACTATATGGTGGTTATATATTTTATTTATTAACAATTTCCTAGGCAATATAGTTGTACTATTTTACAACATTATTAATTCTAAAGGGAAATGAAATAGCATAATCATTCTTCTGGGTCATGTTCTTGATACTGAAAAAGGCAGTGTTACATAAATAAGCCTATGAAGTTTGATGTGGGGTAAGGGGGAAAATGTTTTAAGCAGCAAAAGCAAAAGGTGAAAAACCACTGTTCATATACTGTCCTATTTATGCAATATAGGTGGAAGCAACTACTAGGAAAAAATGCATGTATCCTATAATCAGACATAAACATTTAGCTTTCAAAAAGCCACAGATAATTACATTTTTTGAATGTATCCAGATTTCTGCCACTATTAAGTGATAAATGATGATTCATGTGCTAAGAACAGGGAGCAGTATAATCAAAAGTTTTAAAGTTCCAAGAGGAAGGAAATAGGATCTTTTCAGTATACAGTATTCCTAAAATGCTTTTAAGAGTGCACAAGTGCAAGTGTGTACACTCATACAGTAAAATGTTTAACACATAATCTGGAATATTCCATCTGGCTAGGTAAGAAGGGCCAAAATGATCACAATGACCATGGCTTGACTATTCTCTGACTTCTAAAGGTGGCTTTAACCTTAATTACTAATAAAAATTTTTGCATTCTTTCTATTTCTACTTAATATGGTAGAAATGCCACTATAGCCACTATAGCATTCCTCAGTGAATTCTCTACCCTTAACTACCATAGCAGACTATTGGTTTTTGATAGTCTTATTTAAAAAAATACACACACACACACACACACACACACACATTTTCTGTCCAGAACTGTCTGTAGTACTTTATATATGACATTCATTCACTAACAATGCAAAATTAAACACCTTTTAAATGCTATTTCATTTATTTTACATAAAGAAACTAAGGATCAGAGATTAAGGAATCTTTCCAAAGTAATAGAGCTAGTAAACAGGCTGGCTTGACAACCAATCCTCCACCCTTAACCAGTCTACCGTACTGTCTCAGAACTTTATTGTTAGAAATTAACATTGCAATTATTTTTTTTAAAAGATGGGGTCTCACTATGTTGCCCAGACTAATGTTAAACTCCTGGGCTCAAGCAATCCTCATGCTTCAACCTCCCAAGTAACTGGGACTACAGGTGTGTGCCACTGTGCCCACCACATTTTAAAAATATATTTAATATGTTTTCCATATTACATATAATGATTTTTTAACTTGGAAGCCTCAAATATACCAAGCATGTGACATACATGTACCACCTTAGTTTCTTCATGGTTTTCTAGTAAGAGCAAAGAACACATGAAATGTCTGAAAGTGCTCGATGACTTGCACAGTCCTCAACAGGAAATGGGCTCCTCAAGGAATGTCTATTCTCTAAAACAAGCTCATGGGAAAAAATCAAACAGCAGTCATTTTCCACCGACTACTGAGTCATGCCCTAACTAACTAGAATCCTAATTATTTTTAGAGACCATGTCTTCTTGTCCCAGTCCCACCCAAGTACCCTGAGTACTACTACAACACTTTCCTTCTGCTGAAACCCATACATCATAATACCTTAGGGACTAAAAGTACTTTATATTATAAATTTGTTACATTATAAATTCATTATCATACAATAATAGAACAAACAGAAACTTCTGCAATCACTGAGTCTCATATTACCAACTTGGAGAAGAGACAAATAAGACCCAGGTGGTATAAATGACTTGGTCAAAGCCATATAGGTAGAAACTATGAGTGGTGAAATAACTGAGAGAACTGTGTCCACAACTCTCCAGAATATCTATAATGGTGTGGAGTCACAGCTGAACTGTGAGTTTCTTCCCAGGTCACTAAATTCTGCCTCCTGCTTTCTGTAAAGATTAGGGTTTATCAAATTTAAAATATTCCTGTCAGTAAAAGGACTTGATCTTTAAATAACCACCTTTTAAAGAGAGAGAGAAGAGGAAGAGGAGGAGGATCTAAAAACAGATAATACTATGCTAACTTGCAGCTTCCCTGTATGTGCTTTATACAGAGCTTTTCCTTTCCTATATGACCTGACAGAAGAGGTTTGGAAGACATCTAGAATACAGCAGGCCTCTTAATTAGTCTTTCAAGCAGGTCAAATGCAAACTATGAATGTTTTAAAAATATCTAATGCTAAACATTCAAGCATCTATATTTTTTCCATATTACGAAAGGAGGACTGCTGAAGAATTGTATTTGTGTATTTTGAGACTACATCCAGATCTCTATTAAAAGAGCAAAAAGTTAGTTTTCTAACATCACTTCCCACCAATGAACAAAACAATTTTACTTAAAGATTAAAAAGGCATCTCTAAGAGGAGTCTCATGCAGAAACAAAAAACCAAAAAGAAGTAGCACACACTGAAAATTGAATAATACTGGAAATCAGCTTTGATTCAGGTTATTCACATTCACCATTCTTGCCACAAGTCTTCCCACTTTACCTATTAAACATTCTAGGTTTCCCATTCCAGGCCATAGTGCTCTATCACAGCCTCAGTGTTAAACATTGTGGTGTTAGATTTCCAATATTGAAGCTTTATATTAAAAAGCATTTTAAAAGGACCACGAGTGAAGCATTATAGGGCTCAAGGGTATTCCAGTGCCCTCAAAAGGAAAACCACCTCCTGGTAGGGAAGTCACTTTCATCACCCCAAGACCACTGAATCTCCAGTGGGAAAATGTGAGCTCATGTGGTTAATTATGGCTATTGCAGGCCATGCAACCTCAGATGTCACATTCTGTTGCCAATCACTTAGCTAAAAAACCAAAAGGTTTAAGGTTTCCAGCATTCCAAGATCTGAAAGATTTTTTTACCTGCCACAGCCAAAACCCAGCTCTCTGGGGCGTGCTTTTCCAGTAAGCATTAATGACGTCCCTAACACCTAATGCAGAGCAGAGGTTTGTGTGCCTTATGCTGTTCTGGGGTTAGAAAGGTCACAGACGATAGTTTTGTGAGTGAGAAGTTGGAGCAGGAGTGGAGGGTCCAGGGAAAAACAGGAATGAACCCTAAGATTCAGGTATGTGAAAAAGATGCTAATTCAAACAAAGTTTTAAGGGGCTTGAAAATAAAATAAAAACTTAGTTTCCTCATAATAAATAATTCTGGATTATTTTTTAAATGTTAAGTAACCACTCAAGGCTGCAGCTTTTGTGTAATTTTTATGACAACAAATTCCGCAAACACACATGGCCATGAAAACATTATAAATTAATTCAAATGTTCCTCTGACTTATAGGTTGGACAAACTATGAATATTCAAATGCATCCAAGTACAATAAGTGATCTAAAAGCTCTTACCATCCTGCCTTCCCAATCACTGAGGCAGCTGATTTGTTAAGGAACCAAGCACCCACTGATCCAGACAGGACAAAATACTTAAGACTCTAATCACTGCCACAGCAGCTATGGAATCATTCCATGTTCTCAATGAGACACTGTTTGACATATGGACTCTCCTTTCCAAGAAATCATGCCTGCATAAAGGGATACAGACACAGAAGGAAATCTGGGTCTCATTACCACAAAAGGCTCTCGTGTTATGGATTACTTCAAAATACACACGCACAAACATTTTTTTTAAGCTAAATGTTTCAGTCAGTGGAACTCAAATGAACACCCTTCACTGGACAATTTTCTCCCATTGTGTCCAGGTCTCCTTGGCATACTCCAACAGTAACTTACCCATTTAGAAAAGCACAATAATGTTGGGGCACTATGGTGGAGTTTCCCAAACAGTATCACCCCATGCAGTGTAAAGTCTAACCCAGTAAAGTTTCATGAATATCACGGAATAGCCAGCTTGGAGTTCCTTTACTACAGTCTCTCCCAGAAAAGCAGCTGCTATAGAATACTAAAAAGTTGTCACAAGTTTAAAGAGGTTACCATTCAAAGCAAGGAAGTAAACTACATTGTAGCAGGAATAATATGAATTTTAGAATCAGGCAGACCAGGAATAATCTTAGCTTTATCACTGGTTATTATGGCTCCTTGAAAAAATTAATCTCTCTGAGCCTTAATTTTCTTTTTTTTTAAATTTAGGGTTCTTTCCTCACAGATGAAATTAATTCTCACAATTGTGAGAATTAGGGCAAATGTGAGCACATCATGTTCTATGTTATTACATTTCTTTTCCTTTTTTATATTCTATTTTGAAATGGGTTCTCACTCTGTCACCAAGGCTGGAGTGCAGCTGCATGATCGTAGCTCACTACAGTCTCAAACTCCTGGTCACAAGCAATCCTCCCACCTCGGTCTCCCAAAGTGCTAGGATTACAGGCATGAGTCACCACGCCCAGCCTGTGTTATTATATTTCTTCTCACCCAGCCTACAATGTCTTCTTACTCTCTACTGGAAAACAACATTTTATCTCTTAAGTCAGTGAAAGCATCATCTTCTCTATAAAATTTTCCTGATCCCCTCCTGATAGAAGTAATTATTCTCACTTTTTTGGGTACCATGTACCTAGTATAAACTTCCAAGTACCTGACACAGAGTATGAATTCAGTATTTCTTGATTGTCTTGATTACAAATCTGATACCCTGAACTGGACTGCAATCTCACTAAGGCAGGATCAATGTCTTAACCATCTCATACCCTCAACACCTGGCATCATGGATGACATACAAAGAGCATTCAATACATTTAGTCAATGGAAGTGCCTTTCAGGATACTAACATAAGATTTTCTTTTTTTTAAAGACAGAGTCTTGCTCTGTTGCTCAGGCTGGAGTGCAGAGGCACAATCTTGGTTTGACCCTTCGCCTCCAGGTTCAAGCGGTTTTCGAGCCTCGGCCTCCCAAATAGCTGAGATTGCAGGCGTGTGCCACCACAGCTAAAATTAGTCACACCAAGCTAATTTTTTGTATTTTTGGTAGAAACAGGGTTTTACCATGTTGGTCAGGCTGGTCTCAAACTCTTGGCCTCAAATGATCTGCCCACTTCAGCCTCCCAAAATGTTGGAATTACAGGCGTGAGCCACCGCGCCCAGCCAACATAAGATTTTTAAGGTCCAATATTACTGCATGTGCTTCTTAAAATTTCTGATTCCTTAGGGTAATGAGAAATGAATAGGACCTTAAAATAAAATTAAACATTTATGTTATTTTATCTGACATTTTGTTTTTCAACAACTGCACTAAAAAACTACACTAAGTTATTAAAGGGTAGGGAGACTGTATTCAACTTGTTGGGGATTCTAAGTGTAGATAACTACAAAAGCTATGAAAACGAGGAGACAAGGAATTTCAAAGAAAACAAAATAGAATCAAGAAACATCTCAGAGTAATCAGGCCACCACTCCTGATATTCCTGCTTCCCTGACTGCCCGCTTCAAATCATTCTGTATTTAGCAGCCAGAGTGACTTTTAAAAGCCTAACTCAGCTCATGCCATCCCCCTTCTTGAAGTCCCTCAGGCATTTCCTACTTCCTTGATAATAAAACACCAACTCCTTACAGTGACCTCAAGGCCCTGGCTGCCCTCTCCTGCCTCCCCTAATGTAGCTCTCCTCCTCGCTCACTTAGGATCCAGCTGCACAGGTCTGGTCTTTTCTGTCCTTCCTTCCTCTCTCTTTTGCAACTAATTCCAATTACATTTATTGAGTACCTCCTATATGAAAAGCTATTTCAAATGTTATTTCATTCAATCATCACAATTAATTACAGATATAGATGTCTTATTTTATAAGAAATTAAGCTGAAAGATTACATGATTTACCCAAAATACAAGTCTTTTCTCACATTCCCCCACCCTGAGTTTTTTTAGAGATGCCACGCCCATTCCTCCTTCATCATCACCTTTGTACTTGCTGACCCTTTCGCCCAGAAATGTTCTTCCCCCAGCTGTAGCATAGTTGACTCCTTTTAGCCTTCAATTTTTATACTTCTCCTTAGATAGGTCTTCTCTGACTGCTTTATCTAAAGCAGTTTCTTCCATTCTCTGTGACAGCATATTCTTTTATTAAATATTTGCTACATACTTATTTTCTTGCTTACTGGCTGTCTCCCCCAGTAAGCTCCATGGAAGAAGAGAAAATGTTTACTTTCTGCATCTTTGTATCCTCAAAAGGCACAGTGCCTGGCATTTAGGTGTTCAATGAACATTTTTTTTCAATGAATGATGTTCTATATCCCAGGAAACTGGTACGGGGCACAAGTACTCAATACATTTACTAAATGAATAAATGAGGAAAATGATGCGCCATGGGCTTCAAGACACCACCACTTTGCCTAAAATTAACATCAAAGCACACTTCTGTGAATGTCTTACAGAGATTTGAGGGAGCACTATGAAATGAAACCAAACAAATCCCAGCTATATTATTACCTAGCTTTGTGGTCTCAAGCAAATCACTGAATATCATTTTCCTTATAGGATCCTTTTGTTTGCTTTTATGAGTATTAAAAATTAGGCAAAATCTCATGCATTTATAGGTACAGTATACCTCACTTAATTTTCATGACAATCATATAAGATAGGTAGGGCATAAATTAATAGTTCATTCAATCAATTAGGAAATTAAAGGTTACATGACTTGCTCCAAATTACACGATTTATAGAAGGGGAATCAGGACTTGAACATAGGTCTTCCAACTCCTGGTTTATCACTCTCCTTTCATCACGTCTGAACCACTCACAGGTAAGGGTCCCAGGGGGTAACAAATTAAAACAGTCTTGATGTTAAATGACAACCAATAACAACAGCTTGTTTAGAAGAAAATGAAAGTTCTGATCAAAACTAGTAATGCTCTCTTCTTCAGTAACTTCTCAAGTAGATAATATGCTGGCTTTGGGAATAATCTATAAAGATATCTAGTAGGCCTCAAAGCATTGTTTAGCCTAAGGAAAAAGAACCCACTTTGCTAACAATAAAAATAATCACTTTACTGATATGCCAAAGAAAATATATTCTTTGGAAAATTTATTTTTAAAATGTTTATTTAATATTTAATATTATTATTATTTGCAAAAAGAGTGGGAAAAAGAAAAGATTTTAAAATACAGAAATCACTAAGGATCATATTCTATACTACCATTAATGTAATTTATTTATTTATTTTAAGTTAAAAGATAAGAGAAATGATAGTATAACAAATTAAGCCTGTGGTAATGGAAATGTCACAAAATTAAATTTTCAAATACTTTTCAGGTCAGCGGTAATGACTTTCTAAATAATGACTAAACAGATTAGCGTTTGCTGTTCCTCTGCTCCCAACTACATACAAATTTTTCATAAAAATCAAACCAAAATTGGAAAGGCAGTTATCTGTATTCTTAAGAACCCTACTGCCTAATTTGCTATAAGCCCATTTAAAAACTGATTTCTTTTAAATTTCTAATATAACGTTCAGTAATTATTTTTCTATGATCAGACCTAACATTCTGTCTCCTATCAGGGAGTCTGACACAGATACTTGCAATTGGGAAAGGACAGAAGGTCCAAAAACTCTTTTGGATAAAGTGCTAGGCAACCAACATTTCAAGATATTCTATTTCCATACATTAATATATACTAAATCTTTCAAAACAAAAAACTAAAATACCTTGGAAGTCCTCAGAATTAGGCAACTTGACACTGCACACAAAGTAATCCTTATGCTCATTCTGTGAATGTAATTAAAGAATGAAATTAATAATTAAAACGAAGAAACTCAAAGTCAAATCTCAAAGAATTCAGCAGGTTGGTGCTGACTCAAAGAAAACACTGTTCTAAACTCCAAGAATTATCATAATTGTTGAAGCTGGATGATGAGTACATGATAATTCATCTACTCTCTCCCTATCTTTACATATATACTTGAAATGTTCTATAATAACATTTAAGACATCATGTCCAAGGAAAAAGCCATGTAAAATTATCATTATAAAAATATCCTTGGTTCATTCACATATATAAATGGTTTAATAAGATTCTATAAGCAAACTCAAATCCTATTAGCTTTCTTCTCTGAAAATTAGTGTTTTAAATCACTTTTCATTAAAAAGAAAACTATCAAATTTAGCAGATTTCATTCTCTGAAAAATAATCCTAATCAATTTTATTAGTTTTCCTTTTTCCATTCATTCTAAGAAACTAGGCTGGAAAACCTAATAGCCTGACAGTTACCCCAGGAATATCTTTAACACTAATACATAAAAATTAATTAGCAATCATATTCTTAAAGCAGTGCACATATATCTGCATGTATGTGTCAGAAATAGTGATAGTAGATAATGCGGTTAAGTAAAAAGATCCTAAAGAAACCAAAAATAATTTGGCAGTGTTTCGCACAATGAGTGCATCCCACCACCAAACTGATATAAATGAAATTGTGGAACCTAAGGCCAAACAAGTCTAAATCTATATTTTGAATAGTCATTCACTCCTGAATGAGTCATGACAGAGCACATGATTAAGGCTAGAGCAATGAATTTTTTCATTGAGAGGAAATTTCACACAGAAATTATCTTTTCAGAAAGAAAAATATTTTCAGAAAATTTGAAACTTACCAAATCAATAGGGTAAATGTAGGAAAGCTCAGAGAGTAATTGTCTGCAACGAATTGTCAACTGAGCATTAGTCTTCAAAAAGAGTTCTCTAATGAAGAAAGAAAAAAAATACATTTATTAAAAAAAATACTTGCATGCTTTGCAACATTTATTTCCATATAATTAATGCAAAGAAAGATTATACTATCTGTAATAGGCCACAGAAACTCAGAAGTAGAAGCATAAATAATAGCTACCATAAGTCTTGACCTATCTCCAGATAGTATCAACCAGGTTAACTATATACTGAATGCTGCTGTGTGTGATCAGTACCATGCTAAGATATGTAAAAGGGACTAGGAGTGGTGGCTCGCTCCCGTAATTCCAGCACTTTGGGAGGCTCAGGAGTTCGAGACCAGCCTGGGCAACACAGGGAGACCCCCGTCTCTACAAAAACAAAAAAATTAGCTAGGTTTGGTGGCACATGCATGTGGTCCCAGCTACTCGGGAGGCTGATGTAGGAGGACCACTGGGGCCTGGGAGGTTGAAGCTGCAGCAAGCTCTGATCATGCCACTGCACTCCAGCCTGGGAACCAGAAAAAGACACTGTCTTTGAAAAAAAAGAAATGTAAAGGGAACAAGTAATCATTCACTTTGCATCTACAAATGGCCTTATTAGTTATTATAACAACTCTAGTAAGCTGATATTATTATACCCATTTACAAACAAGGAAACAATATTCGGAGAATCTGAGTAATCTGACCAGGATTTCATAGTCAATTTAATGAGGCCAATTTGATTCAAGAAAGATGTGGATAATATTTCCTCAGGAAATATTCTATATTTCACTCACAATTACATATAATTACCTCAAAAACCAACATGTTGTACTATGAGGGAAAAAAACGTATAAAGAACAAATAAACAAAAAGCTATAACATGAGATTACCCAGTTCTTCTCTTTTTTTTTTTTTTTTGAGATGGGGTCTCACTCTGTCAGGCTGGAGTACAGTGCGTGATCTCAACTCATTGAAACCTTGACCTTCCCAGGCTCAGGTGATCGTTTCCTGAGAAGCTGGGACTACAGGTGCATTCAACCATGCCTGGCTAATTTTTTTATTTTTTGTACAGATAGGGTTTCATCATGTTGCCCATGTTGGTCTCAAACTCCTAGGCTCAAGCCATCTGCCTGTCTCAGCCTACAAAAGTGCTGGGATCATAGGCATGAGGCACTGTGTCTGGCACCAGCTCTTCTCTTACACTACTTAAGAAACATGACCAACAGATAAAATACCTGTAAAATAAGTTGTCTGATCAACTGTGTCAAGAATTTAAGAACAAAAGAAATTTAGGAGAAACTGTAGGTCAAAGTGTAAAAAAACTACAGTGTAATGCAAAGAGCACTGTGATATAATATGACATATATATGATCTTTCTCCCTGGTTCTTATCCAGAGCACCTAAAAACCCTTGGAATTTCCTTAGTGATAAGAGCGTCTTTTGCTATTCATTATGAGCCCCTTTTGATCACACAAGAGTTTATGTTAATGAGATGACTTAAGACAGGGCTCCTAGACAGGATGGAACTGGCCACTAGAAAGATCAAGTGATGAGAGGGTTGGACTTTCTTCCCCATCCACCAGCCTCTGAGAAGAGGGCTGGAGCTTGAGACCTATGTGAACTCTCGCACAACAAGATTTAATGAGCTTCCAAGACTGTGGCAGTGTCTGGAGATTGATATGCACAGACAGGGCATGGAAGCCCATGCTCCGTCCTACATACCTTGCCCTATGCATTTCTTCCATCTTGTTCATCTGGATCTTTTGTAATGTCCTTTATAATAATCCAGTAAGGGTTAAATAAATGTTTCTCTGTATTCTGTGAGCTGCTCTAGCAAATTAATCAAATCAAGGAGTGGGTTATGGGAAACTCTATTTAAAGGAGGTCAATCAGAAGCACAGGTCACAACCTGGGGCTTGCAACTGGCATCTGATGTGGTGGTGAGGCAGTCTTGTGGGAATAAGATCTTAATCTGTGGCATCTGATATTATTTGCAGGAAGACAGAGTGAGAACTAAATTAAATTATAAGACATACAATGAGGGTCTGCTGGAAAATCTGATGTCAACAGTGTTGCGCTGAGTGGTGTGTAACAGTACAAAAATCACTGGTTTTTTTTTTTTTTTCTTATTGAAACAGCACTGAAGACATAATGGAATCTAGTCCTGGCTTTGCTAGGGGGCTGGACAAACAGGAACTTACCAGAGCCTTGTCTTTCTATCTGCAAATTGACAGAATTAGAATAGATAATCTCTATGGTTTTCTCTAGGTCTACCATTTTTGAATCCTCAACTGCTAAAGCTTTTTGAAGAAAAGTGCAGGTGGATGGACTTTCCAGGAATAGTGAGTGAAGATGAGCAAAAGAACAGAGGTACTGATGAATTAAGCATATGTTGAAAAAAATGAAGATAAAAACTATTAGCATTTGTTAAATGAATGTTGGGAGAGTGACTAAAATTAACTTCAGTTGCATAGTGCCAATTTATTAAAGGCTATTTGAAAGTTAAGCAAAAGGATCACCATATTAAGAAGATAAAAGCGCCAGGCATGATGGATCATGCCTGTAATCCCAACACTTTGGCTGAGGTGGAGGATCACTTGAGGCCATAAGTTTGGGTCTAGGACTTATAGTTCGAGGCCGCAGTGAGCTATGATTGCACCACTGCACTCCAATCTGGGTAACAGAGTGAGACCCTGTCTCTGAATGAATGAATGAATGAATGAATGAATGTTTCTCCACATTAAAAAAAAAAAGTTTAAAAACATGGTAAAAATGGTATTTTCAAGAGGAAAGGTCTGATAGTAGCACGGAGGACAATCTGGAAAGATGAAGAAACTGATGTTAGAGAGATAATCTAGTTGTGAAAGTAATCCAAATGAGCTAACAAGAAGCAGAAGTAAATCTGAAAAAAATATTTTAAAAAAATCTATAAGCTAAACCACATATAGAAGACAGGAGGAAGAAATTCAAATATTACACCATGATGCTGTGGTCTGAGAAAGTCAAACAGTGTTCATGTTTCTGATTAAAACTACACATTAGGAGCTTTCATAACTGGTCTCTGGCACAATGCATAACACACAGTAGGTGCGTAATAAATATGTGTTGAATAAATGAATGTGGCACTGAGGTATATGGACTACAAATTAATACCAGCAGTTTTAAAGAACGCTACTTGTTCAAATCTATCTTCACAGTAAACTCAACACTCATAGCAATGCTTCTCAGTGTGCACTTACCTTTTTGCAGTGCACTCCTTCCTCAACTCATTTAGGGATTCCTTCTGGAGTTGAAGTTTGAGGTGCTCAGCTGAAAATGCACTTCCTAGAAAGAAAAGGAAGGAGACAATTCCATATGTAACATAGGATTGCTCAATCACAACCAAAAAGGCCAAGCCCAAAATCCAAAATTAAGAGGGAAATAAAAAGAGTTAAGGAAAGTAGGTGGAGTACAGAGATCTTCTAGGGAGAGCAGCTAGAATAAATTTCCCTATTGGTCCAGTTTTCACAAAAGTCCAGCCTCTGGCAGGAGCCTAAGAGTATATGCCTAAGACTCTCTGCCTATAGATATTTCTCAATTACTGACTGAGAAAGATGGTCAGTAACTGATAAGATTTTAAAATTCAAACTTCACTTTAAAAAAATGAGTGGTTAATTCCTTTCCAACTGAAAATGCTACATAATAACATTACTGAAAGTATGTTTTAAAAAAGAGTAAAAAGTACTTGTATTTTGACTACTATAATATAGTTCATAAACATAAGTAGTTTCTATGAACTGTCATCTTTCTCATAAATATCATTATTTATCGTGCCTGTAACCCCAGCACTTTGGGAAGCTGAGGCTGGCAGATCACTTGAGGTGAGGAGTTCAAGACCAGCCTGGCCAACATGATGACACCCCATCTCTACTAAAAATACAGAAATTAGCTGGAAATCGCTTGAACCTGGGAGGCGGAGGTTGCAGTAAGTCAAGAGCTTGACACTGCACTCCAGCCTAGACAATAGAGGGAGACTACATCTCAAAAAAAAAAAAATCAGTATTTAGGAAATGTGTAACCTGATTTTTCAACTATTTTTACATCATGACAGCCTGAGTTATAGCTGTATAAAATGTAACCCCATGAATGTGAATTACAGGAATATTCTACATTTTAAATGACACCCTCATACCTCAATTCTTTTTTTTTGATACAGCGTTTCTCTGTTACCCAAGCTGAGTACAGTGGCATGATCACAGCTAAATGCAGCCTCACCCTCCCCAAGCTGAGGTGATCCTCCTGCCTCAGCCTCCCAAGTAGCTGGGACAACAGGCACATGTCACCGTGCCCAGATAATTTTTAATTTTTTTGTAGAGATAGGATTTCATCATGTTGCCCAGGCTGGTCTTGAACTCCCGAGCTCAAGCCACCCACCTGCTGCTGCCTCCCAAAGAGCTAGGATTATAGGTCTGAGCTACCATGCCCAGCCTTCCCACCATATTTAAACACCCTTCTCTTCTCTTTCAACGTATTATGAAGACCAATAAGTTGAGAACTCTGACCCTCAATAGAACTTAACCAAGGAACACAACTTACCTTTTTTAGCCCACAATATAACTTCTTCCCAAATCTTCACCTTAATGATATTTAAAGACATTTAGGTTGACACCCTCCACCCCCACGTACTTCATCAGAAAGCATATGATTTCTTCTACCACTAGAGAAACATGCAGTATCATTCTTCATCCCAGACAAATTAGGCTGTCTAAACTCAAATAGCATTAACAAGACCATAAATAGGACCAAAGACAGATCTGGGCTTCAAAATACAAATGAGTGTCCCCCTCCTCAGTTCAGAAGACTCTAGAAAATGTTATTACATGACCTTCCCTTAAGAAAATTCCTTGCAATGTGATAGAAAGAAAATTTAAAAATATATATCCTAACCAGCTAACAAATGGGTTAAAATGTAAGATATCAGGTTCCTTTCTCTATTAAAGCTAATGCAGTTTAGCAGGGTGGTCTCGAACTCCTGGCTCCAAGCAATCCTGCTTTGGCCTTCCAAAGTGCTAGGACTACACATGTGAGCCACCACACCTGGCAATATATCTGCCTTTATATTCAAAGTGGATTTCTTGTAGACAGTATTTATTTGGGTCTTGGATTTTTGTTTTGTTTTAAATTTAATCTGAATAATCTCTTTTGTAACTAGGATGTTCAGACTATTATACCCAATAAAATCACGGCTATGATTAAATTAAGATCTATCATTTTGCTAGCTGTTTTCAGTAAGTTCCCTCTCTTCTTTGTTCCTTTTTTCTCTCTTTTTAAATGCTTTTGGATTGAGTATTTTTTAGTATTACATTTTTCTTCACTATTGGCTTACTTTTTCATCTCTTTAAAAAAGTTTAGTGGTTGCCCAGGAGTTTATAATATATATCTTTAATTAAGCATAATCTACTTTCAAAAACAGGTCGAGCATACCTTATCCAAAATGCTTGGGATGGGAAATGTTTTAGATTTAAAATTTTTTCAGATTTTGGAATATTTGCATTATACGTACTGGTTTAACAACCCTAAACCCCAAAATCCAAAATCTGAAATGCTCCAATGAGTATTTCCTTTGCTGGCACTCAAAAAGTTTCAAAGTTTGGAATATTTTGGATTTCATATTTTCTGACTAGAAATATTCAACTTGTAATATTATACCACTTCATGTAGAGTATTAAAAAACTAAAAATAGTACACTTTCAATTCTTCCTTTTCCCTTTTTTTTTTTTTTTAAAAAAAAAGACGGGGTTTCGCCATGTTGGACAGGCTGGTTTCAAACTCCTGACCTCAAGTGATCCACCCGCCTCAGGCTCCCAAAGTGCTGGGATTACAGGTGTGAGCCACCATGCCCTGCCATTTCTTCCTTTTCCCAGTTTTCAATCTTCATATATTTTACTTCATGTATGCAATAAGCCCACAAACATCATTATTTTTGCTTTAGAAAGTTGATTATCTTTTTTTGTTTGTTTGTTGTCTGAGACAGAGTCTCACTGTTGCCCAGGCTGGAGTGCAGTGGTGCAATCTCAGCTCACTGCAATCTCTGTCTCCCAGGTTTAAGCGATTCTCCTGCCTCAGCCTCCCAAGTAGCTGGAATTATAGGTGCCCACCACCAAGTCTGGCTAATTTTTCTATTTTTAGTAGAAATGGGGTTTCACCATGTTGGCCAAGCTGGTTTCAAACTCCTGACCTCAGGTGCTCCACCTAAAAACACATATATTCCCTTCCTCCCTCCTTCTTGCCCTGCCACATCCCTCAACCACTATATTCAAACGGCTGAAAATCAGAAGCAAAGAGAAAATATTCAAGGCAGCCATAGAAAGAAGACACATTACCTGCAGAAGAACAAAGATTTCCTAACTTGCTCTCAATCTTTCTTGTGAATATCCAATAGAGGTCAATGCAAAAGAAACTGCAAGCTGGTATGAACTGCCTTATAACTGCTATAGTCACATACTAGTCCACATTAGTTAAAAACTTTAGCTCAATTTGTTAAAAACTTTTGCTCAATTATTTTACCTTATTATACAGCAGCCCCAACTTCTTCCCCTGCTCTGCCATTAGTAATCAGTACTCACATCCTAGGTCTCCTTGGAGGCTGTCTGTCTTTCATTATACTCAACCTACTTGGTTGCCTTGAGATCCTAGTTTTCTGAAGGATTTAAGAAAAGTTATGACTTTGTACATTGTCCAATTTTTTTTTTTTATTGTTAGAGTGAAAGTGAAACTCCTTCCACCTACATCTTAGGTAGAGGCTGGAAGGAAAATCGGAGGATATTAATTTGATTTTTTTTTAAGTTCTCCATTCTTTGTACTTTCTGCTTTGGATCAGCTATTCTGTTTATTCAACTTGGTCTCATTCATGCTATTTTCCTCAAATATCTGATGATCATTAGTGGTCCTTTCAAACCCATGAATAAGTGATTAGATTGATTAGTATAGGCAACTGGGATACGCTTCCTTTGGAGCTCTGAGATTTACATAAAAGGCCTCACCCCTTAGTGCCATAAGTATAAGTGAGCTTGTCCTGTTGACAATTAGGCTTTCCTTCTGTGTATATGTGCTGGGAGAAGGCAGGTATACTTTTACTTTAAATTGCTGCAACTGTCAAAGGGATTTTATTCTGGGTAGGTATTTCACTCCTGAGTAGACTTGTCTTTGATGTTTTCTTCTGGGTTGGCTATAAAAGTCTAGTCACTTTAGGTTCTACTGTGACTTTCTACCATGCCAAACACTTATACCATGGGACCTAACCAAGTCAAGAATCCATTATGTTTAGAAAGCAGCTACAGAAAATACTACAGGAAGTTACTCCAAATGCACAGAAGAATGGGCCAACTGGCTCAACTACCCTGATTATTGCTTAAGTTAATTCTTGATTTCAATACTGCAAAATTCCGAACTTGAATCCTCCGATGGTTCTATCAGGAAACCTCCCTGTGGCTGTTACCATTTGTGTTCTAGGCTGCAGTTTTCTCTAGTTTATTCATCAAAACAGTCCTATCTACTTTGTATCTTTGAGAACTGTGCCCAAACCTTTGCTATTCCAATGACATCCTCTTTTGTTTTCACCAGTACCATGGTTTTATTCTTTATACATGTATCTTTATCATCACATCAATAGGTCACTGGTGGAGAGAGGGAACACAAATGCCAGAGCTTAGTTTACCATCTTCCAAAACTGCTTTGGCTCTGTCCAGGCATATATCAATGCTCTACTCTGTTAAATAAGATAGCCTCTCTGTTCAGCAAGAACACAAGTCAGGCAATATAATTTTAATAGCAAAATGTCAATGTTGGCTCCTATGACTAATATAGCTAAAGACTATGAATCTTGCTTCCAGCAACAAAATAAAACACAGACTCTTGGTTCTCTCTCATCACAGTTTGGTTTAAGACTGGACAGTGGCCAGCTCCTGTCAAAATTACAGTTAAAACCAATAAATTGTCATTCTTCTGGGTTTTCTACATCAAGTCAGATGACCAAAAAGCAATATACTTGGAGTACTTTAGCTTCCTTCCCTGCAGAAATGCCTTTTCTGTACTATGATTTATGATGCTGTCCTTCTCAAGGGTTAATAGATATTTCTTGCTGTAACTTTTGTAAAATTACAACTGACTTTATTTCATTATGATATTTAATATCTTGCACATAAGAAACTGAATTCTTCTCTGCATTTAGTGTTAAGAGAGCATATTTATTTCTCTCCTTAAAAGGCTTCCTTAAAACAGGCAATAACAAAAAAATGATATGTTTCATACCTCTACACAATTGGCTTGACAGCTGAGGACAGAGC